CTTGCTAGCTTTCTAGCCTTGTCGACTTGTTCTCCTTTGTACTGCAGCCTTTGTGGCTTGTGTTGCCGATCGTGAGGGCTGAGATAGCCTCGAGAGTGTTCCTTTCCGAATTTTTTCAAAGTTCCAAAGTGATTCAAGTCTTGGTGATTTAGAAAGTTCCCATAGTGCTCGTGCTTTGGAGATCCGCTTCAACCCAGGTGGCTTGGATTAGCCCCAATTGAGTTTGCTTCCGCATTGTTGTTTAACCCTTGAGGGTTTGTTCATCGCTTAGTGTGCTAGAGACTCATAAGGACGTGGTTAAGGTTGACTTATCGACCTCGAAATCATCTAAGTGCTATACGAATCGACTAGCAGAAGTCTATTCCCGTGATAGGTGCTATCAAAGTTGTAGTTGTAGCCGTAGCCCTGCCACAGGTGGTGTTGGAATGAGTTGTTGGTGTAACAACGAGTGTAGCAGTCAAATTTTGTGGCAAGTAGTGACAGAGCAAATCGTTGTAGGCAGACAACGATCATTTTGTACGTGGTTTATGGAAGTGGTCAGAGCAAGTCGGAGTATAGGTGTTGTGGATTCAACAGTGATATGAGCTTGTCTTGTGACAAGAAGAATCTTAGCGAGTTGAAGTAAACCGTTGTGATTCAACGAGTGTTCCAATAAAGTTTATGGTAAGGAAGCGAGATGGCATAACAAAGAGGAGTTGTTCCCACGGAGAATGGCATGGAGAGCCATGGTGGTGGGATTGAGCTAGTGAAACAGAGCGTGGGAGTTATCCCAGGATCGTTGGAGATGAGGATCAAAAACCTTGAGAGCTTCGTAGAAGAAGCTAACGAGGTCCAGGGAGTTGTAGAGTCCTAACTTTAACAACTAGAGTCTATGAGAGATGGTTCAAATACGTTGCACAACGGAGTCTCTACGATTTGACGTTGATAGAGATGAGTAATGAACTCAGGGTCGAGTTAATGGCCTTGAGGGAAGAGATGGATGGGCTCAAGAATGAGCTACTCATGTGAAAGGGAGCAATGAGTGATGATGGTGTGCTCAAGACCTTTGTCGAAGGACTTAGACCAGGTGTGATGCTTGCCAGGGAGCAAGGTGATGCCTAGAGTTGTTTAGAAGCCGGAGCTGTAGCCGAGTCAAGGTTGAGCTTGAAAGAGTCAAGCCAACCATAGATGAGTCGCCCAGGCCCATGCCTGAAGATAGTGGTGAAAATGGGGGAGACCATGACAAGGGACAGTGGATAGATGGCAGAGAATGCTCTTCGAGTAGCCAAGAAGTGGCATCGAGTGATCGTAGTCAGTTAAAGCCATCGGGGAATCATGGCAAGGCCAAGTCCGTGTTAAAGAAAAAGGTGAGTAAAAACCTCTTAAATGATACTTATGTGATGGTCCTCACATGATAAGAGGATTCCCGAGAAGAATCTCTTTGTTGTCTTTATCAGAGGATAAGATATGTCAGTAGGGGAAGTAGCCAAAGATGGTACGACTGCGAGAGTCAAAGCAGTCAAGCCAGGAGCGAGGCTCGGCGCGAATACGAGTGGGGCAGGAAATTCGTGGGTAAACAAGTGAGATCCACTGAGGTGTTTCATATGTTAAGGCGCACATAGGGACAAGAGTTTCCCAAATATAGAAAATCTCAGTGCCAATGCAAGTGGCGAAGCTGGGAAGCCGAGGGTAAAGAAGCGAGAGCCATTGAAGTGTTTCCAGTGTGGAGGACAACACAAAGTGCGTGATTGCACAAACGAATTAAAGCTCGGTGCGAAAACCAAGGGCCAAGCAAGAAATCTAAGGGTAAAGAAATAGAAGAAACTGGAGTGTTTCCGATGCAAAGGTCCATACATGGTGCGGGAATGCTCAAGCCGAATCAAGCAGTCCAAGGGAAGGGACAAGGCCGAGAGTAGTGTTCCTGCCAGGCTTAGTTCAATGGTGTTTACCTCTGCCAAGGTTAGTCAGAACTAGAAGTAGAACGGGTTGCCCAAACCTAATGTTGCCAAGGAGCTTGCCAAGGATGTCGAGGAGGTAGTCGTTGATGTGGAAGCTGGAGTTGGCAAAGGGCCATAGTAGCCCGAGATGTTTCAAGAGCAGGTGACCTTAGTACATGCCGAGAGTGAGGCATGGTCTAAGTTGATGAGTCTTAGACATGATGAGGTGTTGAAGGAGTATGTGAGTCAGTTCAAGGAAATCATGCTCAAAGTCCCAAAGTTGACTGAGGAAGATATATTTTTCACATTCACATATGGATTGAAGCCATGTGCATAGATGCAGATGGAGATGGAGAGAAGGGGAATCAAGGAGTTGTCTAAAGCCTTAATAGTCGCCGAGTCCATTATAGCACATGAGTCAAGAAGACATCCAAGCCGAAGTTGAAAGCTGTGGGTAGTGGCAAGAGAATCCGAGATGAGGGTCGATCAAATGATGAGGAGCAATGCTCTTGAGTGATGCTTGTTCGAGTGGAGTTTGTTCAAATGGTGAGCATTTGAGAACTGTTCATTCAATTGGTGTTCACATTTCTAGAGAACACATGTGTGAAGTTGGCACAAGTAAAGCTAATAGGTTCTTTAAGTCGAGCGCAAGAAAATAGCAAACGGAGGGTCACCGAAGTAAGGGACCACAGGAGTTGCAAGCTTTCCTGGATAAAGCTGAGTTATCTGAGAAGATGGACAAGCCCAGGATCGAGTTACCCAAGGACATGGGTGAAGACGGGGTTAATGAGGTTGTTAGACTTGGCTCAATGAGTTTGAGTTATGCCATGACAAGTGGAGGCCGAAACCATAATGGGTTGATGTGTGTGAACATCAACGTTCTGAGACAAACGAAAGTTTCCTTAGTAGACAAGGGGGCAACTGATCTATTCATGTCAAAGAAGGATGCTAACAATCTTGTTTTGAAAATTGAACGATCGAAGGAGGCGATCAAGACTATCAATTCTGAAGAGGTTTCGAGGGAGAGGAACGTTGTTTTACGGACTACCATCGAAGAGACAACTGAGAAGTGGTTGATGGAGTCCAAGCCTTCTAGAGACATAATGGGCGAAGCTTGCCACCCATGTAAGAGGGTGGAAATCACACCAGATTTCAAAGGAGGAAGTGTCGATGCGAGTAGAAGCACAAGACTTCCGGATAGAAGTGTTGGTGTATGGAGTGCCAGACTTCGTGGAGTAAAGAGGGCTCGCACATAGAGTAAATGTGCTTAGGGAGATCGAGGGACATCTCAAACACGTTCCAAGTGTTGAGTTTGATTCACCATTGCTGATGAGCATAGGTCGAGGACCTAAACATTTTCTTGCGGAGTTATCAAAGGTTGGAAGGGACATATGAGACTTTCAGAGTTCTTAGGGACAAGCGAGTGTTGCCGACAAATCTGAGTTGTTGTGTTGTATGTTTCTGGAGCATCCAAGTCTTTTCCACTGGATCAAACGTATCCTTGTTTGGGTGAATGCAAATGGGTAGGATGTATTTCCTACGTTCGAGATGAATGCCACGGTTTGTTAGATGGTGATAAGACATGACGTTGTTAACCAAGGCTAGCTAGCCAAGGTGTTTTATTAAAACGTCTAATGTGATCAAGACCAAGTGTTCTCACCTAGCGACGAGGGCGTCGCTAGATCAAGTGGGGGAGAATCACAGACTAAACTTTTGGGTCCATGGACGTTGGCGCAAATGTTCACAGGAGGGTTCTATTACGCAGACTTAGGCTTGTTGGGCATAAGGTTGGCCCGGTTCTTGGAGAATGCTTACGAGTCAGTAAAGGATCGAGTTCGTGAAGGATCAAGTATGAGGCGTCCGAGAGAAGCGACGACGAAGTTACATGTTTGATGGGGCCAATTTTGTCAAGGCTCGTGGATTCAGACCGAGACATGCGTTCGCAGATTTCTGTAGGAGAATAATACATACTGTTGGGCTTGCCCATAACCATCAGACCTGGCATGTTCCTTGGAAGATTCCAGAAAGGATAATATTATCCAATAATTAAGGAGATAAATACTTAATTATGGATAATGTTTAATTTGAATTCAAATACCTTAGAGATAGAGTTCTGAATAAGGTAGGATTTAATATAAGTCGTCGATGTACTTTTATCTAGGCCGTTGGATCTTGAGAGCCTCAACTATAAATAGAGAACTCAACTCCTCATTTGTAATCATTCAATTCAATTCAGATTCATTCTCTTCAGAGTAATAAGACTCATGCATTTACTTTTACTCTCTCTGAGTTCTTGTGTTTCTAGCTTTCTAGCTTGCTAGCTTTCTAGCCTTGTCGGCTTGTTCTCCTTTGTACTGAAGCCTTTGTGGCTTGTGTTGCCGATTGTGAGGGCTGAGTTAGCCTCGAGAGTGTTCCTTTCCGAGTTCTTTCAAAGTTCCAAAGTGATTCAACCCTTGGTGACTTAGAAAGTTCCCACACTGCTTGTGTTTCGGAAATCCGCTTCAACCCAGGTGGCTTGGATTAGCCCCAATTGAGTTTGCTTCCGCATTGTTGTTTAACCCTTGAGGGTTTTTGTCACTTAGTGATCCAGAGACTCACAAGGACGTGGTTAAGGATGACTCTGGCACCATTTCAACCTGGAAATCGTCTAAGTGCCGCACGAATCGACTAGTAGAAGTCTAGCCCCGTGACATTATCGTCTGTTCCATCCTACACTATCTCTTATAAATCTTTTGACAAAGTTTTGAGCATGGATAAGAAAACCTTTATTTTTTCTGTTGTACTAATACTTATGAAATGAATACTTTCCTAGACCCTTGCAGTTTGAATGGACGGTTGAGGAATTATTTATATGATGAGGAGCCATTAGATTAAAACAGACTCCAAAAGAGTAATGATATTGGGCGGAAACGTTCCAACTGCATGATATAACATTGACATGTGGAATGGATGTTAAACAAGTCGGGGAGCAAGCATGAAATGTAGGCACATTCTCTGCTAGCCTCGAATATAAGTAAAGGCATAATGCCCAAGTGGTAAGGCAGGATTAAACAGGCTTTGTATTAATCAGCTTTCCACACCGAAATGGCTGTTACTAGGAATGCTAAATCCGAAGCCTACCTCCTCTTTGTTGCTGCATTCTTCCTGCTGGCCTTGTCCACTACCTCTACAGCTTTAAACATCACCAAAGCGCTTGCAGATTACTCTTAGTACAGCAGTCTCAGCAATCTTCTCAAGCAGACAAAGCTGACAAAAGCAATCAACCATCGCCAAACCATTACCATACTAGCCCTGAACAACGATGCCATCAAATCCATCGCCAACAGGCCCTACGATGAACTTAGGGAAATCTTCATGAATCACATCATCCTTGACTACTTTGATAAGGAAAAGATCCAAAAGCTGGGAAAGAAGAGTGCTCTTCTCACCACTCTTTATCAAACCACCGGCTCGGCTTCCAACCAAAATGGTTTCATCAACCTTACCAGGATAGCACCAGGAGACGTTGTGTTTGGTTCAACCACCAAGGGTTCACCACTAGTTGCTAAGCTTCTGGATTCCGCCATTTCCTAGACTTTCAACTTATCAGTGCTCCACATTAGCACACCATTGTGGCTCCTGCCTTTGGTGATCCCATTCTTCCTCCTCCACCACCACCGGGTTCCAAGCCACCGGCCTCTGCTCCCAAGAAGTCCAAGTCTAGCAGTACCAGTGCTCCTAGCCCCGATGCCGAAGATGAATCTGTGAATGAAGATGACGTAGACTCCCCGTCTCCATCCGATGCAACAGCTCCATCTCCTAAAGCCTCCAAGAGGAAGTCGCCCCCCAAACCTAAAGATTCTGATGACAATGATGAAGATTCTGAAACACCTTCTCCTTCCGCTTCCTCTAGGGCAGTGTGATCATGGGTAAGCGTTGCAGTGGTGATTGAATTGATAGCCTTCTAAGTAAGTTACGCTACTTGATGACGTGGGGAGCCAAACGAATTTAAGCTTTATATTTTTATATTATACCGAAAGCCAGGCTTGAGGAAAGCCTAATCCCCGTTATGAGAATAACCGAAACACAAAGGTATAATTCATTATTCCCATTTACCTGCTTTTACGATGTAATTGAGAATTAGTAAATTCCTATTATTTCTGATAGAGAAATGGAATCCCTACATGTGTTTATCATATCCTTCCTGAGATAACGAAAGTACTTGCAACTCCATGCAAGCAAAAATGGTACTACTTCATTCCAAACTTATCAACTTTGTAAACAGCTTCTATTTTAAACTTTTTGAATTTTTAAAGATTTAAATCAAATTAAAATTTTATATAATATATAATATTTTTAACGAAACTTGAATTTGAAATCTCATTTCAACCACATCCTGCATTTTAAATGATGTATGCTAGTAGTCTAGCAGCACTATTGGAGTCTACAATATATGCATGGACAATATAATTAAAGAGGAAAAAGACCGTATGATTGGGCTTAAGAATATGTGCTGAGCGGTTGACCCGGGAGTTTTCGACATTTAATAAGAGATGGATAATCGTGGCTAATGCAAAACTCAAATATCTGCATAGTTCCTAACAGGGGCGGTCGGGCCGTTTTTAGATTTCCATTCGACTGGAAAATCATCTGCCCGCGGCTGCCAGGAATCATTCATATCATCCGTCCATGCAGCTTGTTCCTTCATCATCATCCTCCAACAAGCCTAAACCCTCATTTTTGGATCAAAACCCTCGAATCTATCCTCAAACCACACTTCATTGCTGCTCAAATAGTAACTCTTTTGAAGAGTTATCAGTAATTGCTGGAAAAACAGTAATCAGAAACCAATTTGCCATCCAATGTCATGACCAAATAGCTAAACATAAAATCTTCAAATAAAAAAAAACTACAATAAAAAAGAATTAAAAGAAACTAACATTGAGAATCTTTTCAACTGAGGATCCTTATGCTATATGCTCCATCAATTAATATCTAAATTCAAAAAGATAAAGTCGCACTACAAAAGCTAAAATCGTACTTTATGCTAGATGAAAACAATTAAAAGCAAATAAAAAGAACAAAGACACAAAATCCCGAAATATCATATTTTTTCAATAAAGTTTAACGGAGAAAGAAATATAAAAAAGGGAACTCACAATTCTTTCGTGGTCCCAAACTTAACATAAAAAGATCCATTTTTGTCAACGTTGAGTTGAGAATTTGCATGTGAGAAATGAAGAAATGGCGAAAGGTTGAATAATCATAAGAGAATTAAAGAAGAAAAGATAAATTGCCTGTGATAAGCTCATTGACAGCGCGTGAGATTCGTGTGTAAATCGCTTGGGAAATGCGTTGACCCCCATGAAAACCGAGTTTATTCCATATAAGGAATTTAAAAAAAAATCATATATTAAACAATAATGTTTTGTTACAGATTGTATAATGTCTAAATGGAAATTGCAAATTTTCACAGTTAGCCAATCCTATTATAAAATTATAAGATACTCACTTCAACGACGATTTGAAACTACACGATAGTTCCTCAAACGCACTAACAAACGACGTAATTGTCAATTAAATAATCTTTTTTTTTCAAATAAATAGGTTAAGAACATAATATATAGAAGAAAAGGTTGATGGATTTAAAAATTTATAATGTCCATTTGAATTGATTTTTAACCAAGAAATCTGGTGAGAAAAATAAAAAGTGGTTTAACAAAACAAATTAAATAAATTGAATAAAGTAAAAAAACGTAAGAATAGTAAAAGATTGAAAATAATTATGATGAGAGATCGTCTCCAACTTCTCTTTGCTTCAATTCGTCTTGATCACTGAAATATATTTTCCTTCGTATACTTGCCGGTTACAGTCTACAAGGCTCAACCCTTGTAACTTATTCTTCTCTCTGGTGAACTAATTTTCTAAAGTCAATCCTTGAAATTTAACCCTTGCTTGGATTGACATCATTTATCGATGTTAACGTCAAGGTTGTGTTTTAGTACTGGAAAAGTTCGTGCTCGGATTATGGTGTCTCAATGAGAATCGAATCTGATCTTGATTTCCCTTAACGGACCACCGCTAAGTTTGTTCTCAGAGATTTGAATGTGCTACAAGTCGATTTTCCACCCCAATGGTAGATCATGACGTCTATCAAGCCAATGTGCACTCTTTGGATTGAAAGTATCGAGATACTTGAAGGAAATGCCAATTGTCAATCCTAGATTATCGATAGTCAAGAAAGAAATATGAAGATGTGAAGCACTTTTTCAATTCTCACGACAGGAATTAAGCCATTTCTCAACTATCGACTAAATGGAAGTTTAGCTAAGCTGATAGAAATCATACTTAACATATAAAATAATGAAAGAAAATAAAGAAGATGAAGAAGAAAAATAATATTTATAAAAAATCCCAAACCTAATTAAATCCAAGAAAACAATGCATGTCTTTCAAGCTTCACCATAAGGGTATTTATATTTTGAGATAACCTAAAGAAAATAAAATATCTAAAGAAATTAAATTTTTTAAAGATAATTTTAAAAGCATTCAAATACTTAAATCCTAAATAATAGCAAACTATAATCCTAATTAATAGAGAGATAATTCCTAATTAAAATAATAGTTCCCAAACATTTAAAAATAATTAAAATTCTTCATTCTTAATTTCCAAAGAGTTTTCGTTTGTCCGACCTTCTTCCTTGATTTCACTTACAGGATCGTCTTCTAGAAGTTGACGCTAATAGGACTGCAGATTCTATCACGTCGACATCGCCATGCCCAAAGTCATGCCCATGTGTCCAAACATTGATTCGAGAAAATAAAAAAATCTACAGAATTCACCCTTTCAATGTTGTTTTCTGGAAAATAGAATCCTACACATAATTGAATATAAATGACCCACCCAAATTAGCAATATCAAAGAGATAACATGTAGTAATTAGCAACAAAATACTAACAAAATAAAACACTCATTAAATTCCCCCTCACTTATTCAATGCTTTTCCTCAAGCATGCCTTAATCAATTGTTAAAATCTCAAATTATTAATCATTCATCTTACAATATATCAAAGAGTACTAAATGAGTCAATGATCACAACAAGTATCAGAAACAATGTGACAATTAAGTAAATAGGAACAACTAGTAACAAGTTTGAGTAAAAGGCAAGATATCCCAATTATCAATCAATCTCAATGTAACAAGACTCAATACCTAACAAAGATTCACTCATTATCTCTCAAAGTGTTTCAGGTAAAAGAAATCGCTCAAAGCCAAGATCAATAAAGACATTTCCATAGGCTTGTAATAAAATCAAGTCTCCACCACTAGACTGAACAAGATGCATTTAATCAAATGGTATTTAAAAAGGTTTTAACGGGATTTAGGTTAGTGTAGGGATAATGCCGAAAAATTGGGTTTAATTGTCAAGACAAAAGATGCAAAAAATATAAGTTCAATCCACGAGTTCAAGCAAGTAAACAAACTCGAAGAAGCGTAATCAAACAATCAACTCTTTCTTTATCATTCATTTTTTTTTCTTTGCTATTTTTCTGCTTTTTTCTATTTTTTGTTTTTGTTCGAACACTAAGACAAACCATAATTTTTTAAATGCTGCTTGAAGTGCCTTAATCATCTTAAAGCATCAAGTTCAAGATGTGAAGCACTTTTTCAATTTTCACGAAAGGAATTGAGCCATTTCTCAACTATAGGCTAAATGGAAGTTTAGCTAAGTTGATAGAAATCATACTTAACATATAAAAGAAAGAAAGAAAATAAAGAAGATGAAGAAGAAAAATAATATTTATAAAAAATTCCAAACCTAATTAAATCCAAGAAAACAATACATGTCTTTCAAGCTTCACCATAAGGGTATTTATATTTTGAGATAACCTAAAGATAATAAAATATCTAAAAGAACTAAAATTTTTAAAGATAATTTTAAAAGCATTCAAATACTTAAATCCTAAATAATAGCAAACTATAATCCTAATTAATAGAGAGATAATTCCTAATTAAAATAATAGTTCCCAAACATTTAAATCCAATTAAAATTCTTAATTCTTAATTTTCAAAGAGTTTTCATCTGTCTGACCTTCTTCTCTGATTTCACTTACTGGATCATCTTCTAAAAGTTGACGCTGATTAGACTGTAGATTATGTCACGTCGACATTGCCATACCCAAAGTCATGCCCATGTGTCCAAACCATGATTCCAGAAAATAAAAAAAATCTACAGAATTCACCCTTTAGATGTTGTTTTCTGGAAAATAGAATCCTGCACATAATTAAACATAGACGACCCATCCAAATTAGCAATATAAAAGAGATAACTTGGAGTAATTAGCAACAAAATAAAACACTCATTAAATTCCCCCTCACTTATTCAATGTTTTTCCTCAAGCATGCCTTAATCAGTTGTTAAAATCTCAAATTATTAATCGTTCATCTCAAAATATATCAAAGTGTACTAAATGAGTCAATGATCACAACAAGTATCGGAAACAAGGTGACAATTAAGTAAATAGGCACAACTAGTAACAAGTTTGACCAAAAGGGAAGATATCCCAATTATCCATCAATCTCAATATAACAAGACTCAATACCTCACAATGATTCACTCATTATCTCTCAAAGTGTTTCGGGTAAAAGAAATCACTCAAAGCTAAGATCAATAAAGGGATTTCCATAGGCTTGTAAGAAAATCAAGTCTCCACCACTAGAATGAACAAGATGCATTTAATCAAAGGCTTAGGTTTTAACGGGGTTTAGGTTAGTGTAGGAATAATGCAAAAAAGTTGGGTTTAAATGTCAAGATAAGAGATGCAAAAATATATAAGTTCAATCCACGAGTTCAAGCAAGTAAACAAACTTGAAGAAGCGTAATCAAATAATAAACTCTTTCTTTCTCATTCATTTTTTT